AGCCAGCCTGGGAAGGAAAGTCCATGAGACTCTTACCTCCAGTTAACCACCAAAAACTGGAAGTGGAGCTATGGTTCAAACTAGCAGAGTACTAGCCTTGAGGAAAAGAGCTTCTGGGCAAACCCTGAGTTCAAGCCCTACAACCACCACCACCAACAAAAAGCTAAGGCCCTGAGTTCAAGTCCTGCTTTTAGTGTCCTAGTACTAAAAATACCACACACAAGGTGTAAATAGCGACACACTATTTTCTTTGGCACTTTTTGGTAGGCTTGGGCTTCAGGGAGAGATTTCAATCCATGGATCAGGCAGAAGGGTAGATGAACTGTCTTTCCACTGAGCAGCTTCACTGTAAATTCACTGTATAAATAAGGGACTGACAGAGTCTCCTACCTGATCACAGAAATCAGCACACAGAAACTACAGGTCCTGTGAGTCCACGCTGTCTGCAGTCCTAGAGAAGGCCGTAAGAACAGCGTCAGTCCAGTGCCCTGGGGAGATGAACTAGAAAGATAACATGATAATTTGTCAAGAACGGTATCGTTTTCAGAGCATTTCACACAGAAAAGCCACATGAGGCAATTCTGTTTTTTTTTTTTGGGGGGGGGTCCGGTCGTGGGGCCTGAACTCTGGGCCTGGGCACTGTCCCTCAGCTCTTCAGCTCAAGGCTAGCGCTCTACCACTTGAGCCACAGCGTCACTTGTGGGTTTTTTTCTGTTGTTTTGTTTTTTTTTTTGGGTCCGGTCATGGGGCCTGAACTCTGGGCCTGGGTGCTGTCCCTCAGCTCTTCAGCTCAAGGCTAGCGCTCTACCACTTGAGCCACAGCACCACTTCTGGCTTTTTTCTTATTTGGTGCTGAGGACTCGAACCCAGGGCTTCAGGCATGCAAGGCAAGCACTCTACCACTGAGCCACCTTCCCAGCCCCGACATTTTTATTCTTAGCCCCAAATATTTTGTTTCGTTCCCTTGTCCACTCTAATAAATCAGCAAATCTGCATTGCAGCTCTGTGTCTATATACACAATTCTAGCTATGAAATGGCCATTTCAGGTTTTCCTGTAGCAAAGACAATCTATACCAGAGCCTGCAGTATTTGAAGGCAGTAACCAATCATGCGTTCTATAGAGCAGCCTTCGATGTAATTCTACAATAAGATTATTTTGGTTTGGTTTTTTTTCCTCTTAAAGATCACCTATAAATTAACAAGCGGTTAAAATAAATCATTTCACCATCAGATTGTGACAAGTAGTCATTCTTTTATTTGATGAAGGAAAGTTAAATTACAACTGAAGAGACATCCACTGTATGCATCTGTCATTCAGAATCTGTGGCACAGATTGGAGATCGTGGCTCCTGACCCGAGGTCTGGAAAGAAAGCTCCAAAGTATGGCATGGCCTAGCTTTGTGGCGGGAAGGGCTGGCTTCACCTGCTTTCTGTTGTGAGCCTATCTACTCTAGATTTGATAAGCACTGAGGACTCATGGGGTTTGATTTGCAAAGTGCTTTAAAGCAACTTTGGTTGTTAAGTTCAATTACAAACACCATAACAGTATCATGACTTAAAAACATGAACTTGTACATTCTATCTTAGCAGTGAGCCTGAAACTTAAAAAAAAAAAAAATTGAGCTGGGTGCCGGTGGCTCACTCCTGTAATCCTAGCTACTCAGGAGGCTGAGATCTGAGGATCATGGTTCAAAGCCAGCCCAGGCAGGAAAGTCCGTAAGACTCTTATCTCCAATTAACCACTAGAAAACCAGAAGTGGTGCTGTGGCTCAAGCAGTAGAGTGCTCACCTTGAGCTGAAGAGCTCAGGGACAGCACCCAAGCCCAAAGTTCAAGCTCTGTGATTGAAAAAAAAAAAAAAAAAACAAGTACTGTTTGCAGGAAAAAATAAAATCTTAATTCTTTTAGTCTAAAGACAAAACTGTCAACTAGATTATAAAATTACCCATCACCATGAAACATGAAATTTATTTCATATGAGTGAAGCCAAAGGAAAACTCATCCCAGTGTGAACTACTCTTAACAGTGAACATAAGAGTCCTTACCACAATAGCCAAAGAGCCAGACATGTGGTGCATGCCTATAGTACCAGCTATCAGGGAGTCTGAGGCAGGAGGTTCACTTGAGTCCAGGAGTTTGTAACTGGTCTGGGAAACAGGGTGAGAGGAGAGCCACATTTCTAAACTATTTTTTTTTTTCTGACAGGAATAAGAGCTATTTCAATAATTCAATTCTTTTATTTTCTCTCTATAAAATTAGTATTGTATATATTATCACAAATACTATGACTACTATGACATTATGTTCATATCCAGGCCTACTGGGTTCAGAACAGCAACGCGGATTTAAGTACTCTGAAAGAACACTATCACTCATCAGCTACGCTGATCACAATGCAACTCTTACCCTCAGAAAACATGAATCTGAACGAGGCCTGGGACACAAGAAGCTGCATTAAAAAGCAAGAGCGAGAGAAAGGGTGACATTGTCCAAAAAGAAATGTGCTCATCACCTGACTTAGGTGACTGTGACCCCTCCGTATATCACCTTTAGAACAACAACTTAAAAAGACAAAAGAAAAACCAATGGGAGAGTTTAACAACAACACACATCATTGGCAGCTGCCTGGGTGAAGTTAGGGGGTGGGGGAGGTTTAAATATTCAAATCTGTATAGCCCCTAAGTTTTAAAATGCTTCTATTTATATAGTAGAAGCCAGAACTCAGGGAGATTGAGAATGGATTGGGGCCCAGAGGAAAAGCATCCCAGGCAAATTACTGACCCAAGTTTATGGAGGAATGCACCCAAATCTCTCTTCTGGGTGCTGAGCACAGTGATTTTTTTTTTCTAGCTTCCTTTCTATTCAGTGCTAGGCTGAAGGCCCTGTGATGAACCAAGATAGTAGAAGATGTGCATGTTCCAGTACGTTTGGAAGCAAGTTAATCTGGATCCTTTTTCTGGAATCTCCAAGGACTAGCTCATCCTTTCAATGACTAGATCATCCTTTTGAGCTGCTCGGGAGAAGCCAGGTACCTGGGGCTCATGCTTGCAATCCTAGCTACTCAGGAGGCTGAAATCTAAGGATTTCAGTTTGAAGCCAGCCAGGGTAGGAACGTGGGAGGCATACCAGAAATGAAGCCGTGGTTCAAGTGGTAGAGCACCAATCTTGAGCAAAAAAGCTAAGGGTTGGTGCCCAGACCCCGAGTACAGTAGCAGCATGTGTGCATGCACACCTCCCAACTTCCTCCCCCCAATGCTGACTCTCTTCTGAAAACTAACTACAAAGTTCTCTCTATGCTTCGAATAGAGTAGTGCCCGCTTACTCAGCATTTAGTACTCTGAGAATGGGTTGTAGCTGTGGCAAAAGCAGCCAGAGACCTGAGGCTCCAGGAGGGACGATCCCCAGCCACAGGTGGCATGCTGAGAAATTGGTAAGTGCCTGTTTCATTAAGAAACCTGAGCCTAGCCGGGCACTGGAGGCTCACGCCTGTAATCCTAGCTACTCAGGAGGCTGAGATCTGAGGATCGCGGTTCAAAGCCAGGCCAGGCGGGAACATCTGTGAGACTCTTATCTTCAATCAACCACCAGAAAACCGGAAGTGGCGCTGTGGCTCAAGTGGTAGAGCTGAAGAGCTGAGGGACAGCGCCCAGACCTAGAGTTCAAGCCCCACAACTGGAAAAAGAAGAAGAAACCTGAGCCTGCACCTGTCCTGGTTTTGCTGATCTTAAAGCTGCGCCGGAGCTGAGGACAGCGCCGTTCTCTGGTGCAATGGCACATTCAGAGACAAGTCATAATGACGCCAACAGACACTTCAGAAGCGTGCGGTGGGACAGAGCGGCTTCCCAAGGTCCCGAATAGAAGCCAGCGCGGACACATTTGCTGCGTAAGCAAGAGGGACTGTCAACTCAAAGGGGGACTTGGCTCACACCTGACGAACCCCCCAAACTTTTATTCTCATAAAAGTCACTAGAAAAATAACAGCCAGAAGTGGAACTGTAGCTCAAGTGACAGAGCATCAGCCGTGAGAGCAAAACCCTGAGTTCAAGCCCCAGTACTGGCACAAAGAAAGGGGAAAGGAGAGGAGAAGAGGGGAGGGGGCGGAGGAGAGGGAGGAAGAGGAGGGGGAGGGGAGGAGAAGAGGGAGAGGGGAGGAAGAGGATTGGGAGGGGGAGGAGGAGGGGGAGGAGGAACCACTATAGGATTTAGGGGAAATCTTGCCAATCATCTCAGCCAATCTGGGAGCAGAAAGAAAATTCCCCAGGCACTTAATGATGCCTGCTTTCTAGAAAATGCTAACAAGAGACCTAAAACAAAACTTGATTTCTTGGGCTGAGAATATGGCTTAGAGTGCTTGCCTAGCATGCATGAAGCCCTGGGTTTGATTCCTCAGTACCACATACACAGAAAAGCCGGAAGTGGTACTGAGGCTCAAGTGGTAGATATTAGCCTTGAGTCAAAGCAGCTCAGGGACAGTGCCCAGGTCCTGAGTTCAAGCCCTAGGCCTGGCATAAACAAACCCAAACAACAACAACAAGGGATTGAGAACGTGGCATAGTGGTAGAGTGCTTGTCTAGCATGCATGAAGCCCTGGGCTCGATTCCTCAGTATCACATACACAGAAAAAGCCAGAGTAGAGCTGTGGCTCAAGTGGTAGAATATTAGCCTTGAGCCAAAGAAGCTCAGGGACAGTGCCCAGGCCCTGAGTTCAAGCCGCAGGACTACAAACTAACAAACCCAACTTGACTTCTTAAAAAAAAAAAAATCATCTCAGCCAAATGTTCTGTATCACCAATGAGAGCTAATTGGCGGAGGAATGAGCACATCTTAGCTATTCTAACTTCCAATCTGTGGCTATCTTACTAAGCAAGCTGACTTTGAAGAAGGCTCACTGACCAGATAAACAGAGAGGAGGTTCTGGTTCTAAGTACCTGGCTGCCCTGTTGGGAAAGAAAGGGCCTCAGAACACATGTAACATGTACTGCGGGGCGGGGCGGTCGGCGCATCACTGGTGTAATGTCGCCGACAGAAAGTGCACAGGATAGAGCATTAACTGGCCATCTTCCCAAGAGTACAAACGCTGGTCCCTCATGTTGTAGGACAGCATGGCGAGAACAGACTGGGAAGTCCTTAGCGCGAAGTTTGCATTGATCTGTTTCCCTCCTAGCAAATCAAAGGCGAATGTAATCCTCGTATCCTTGGTGTCAGTGACGTAGAGGATGCCTCGGGCCACAAAGGCATTGCCGGCCTTGGATTTGGGGTAGGTGGTGTTGATGTGCTGTACCACCGAGAATGTCTTCTCTTCCAGCTGGGCAACAAGAATGTTTGAGCCGTCCACACTGGAAGCATAGATAATCCAGAGACCCTTCTCATCCACAGCTAGGTTGAAGTAAGTCTTGGAATTCGCAAAAAGGTACTTTCGATCAAAATACAAGGCATTTTCAAGCTTCAGAGTTTGGGATGTTTCCTTGCCAAATTCAAATCTGAATCATGTTAGGAAAGAAAGAAAAGTAGAGATGAGGTACTGTTTTGGTAGACAAAGATGGTTTGTTAGGCTACTTCATCTGAGTTAGTTAAGTCTAGGGATCCCGGTGATAGTGCGCATTGCTAACAAGTTCCAAGTAATTCTTGTTCTATTGGTCCTTAAACAACCACCACCACCACCACAAAACAAAAACAAAGGCAAAACAAAACAAAAAAGTCAGTTAGCTACTCAGAAAAAGCTGTAAGTGGTGGTAAGGCTCACGTGGTAGAGCACTACTTTTGAGTGAAAAAGCTCAGGGACAGTGCTCAGGCCCTGAGTTCAAGCCTCTGGGCCGACACCCAAAAAACAAAAATAAAAAACAACCTAAATCCAGGAGTGACAAGTCAGGTTGTTAGACTAAAAGGAACACCAGATGGAGCCATTGAGCAGCAAAGAAAGCATGCAATGTGGGAATCTATGCGGATTTCAGCAGACAAATCTGAAGTTACTAAGAAACCTTTTAAAAGCTTGAACGGAATCTGGAGAGGAGCGAGGGCCCTGTCCATCACAGCTCACAAGAGCCAGCTTCCTCCCAGAGCTTTCAGTTCAAAACTATCCCTGTTGCCTGTACCTGGCAGCTGCACTTCTTGGGAGGCTTGTCTTTCCCTGCCAGAGCAAGCTCTGAGTTCAGCCTGCCCCTCCTTCAGCAATCAGCTTGGGCCTAGCAAAGAGCAGCCCAGCTGAGCTTTACTAGAAGCAGCACTTTCCTTCACCCCAGAACTCCCCTACCGCCAGACCTATATATAAGATGGCAGCAGGGCCAGGTGCCAGTGGCTCACGCCTGTAATCCCAGTTACTTAGGAGGCTGAGATGTGAGGATTGTGGTTTAAAGCCAGCCGAGAGACTCTTGTCTCCAAATAACCACCAGAAAACTGGAAGTGGTGCTGTGGTTCAAGTGGCACAGCACTTGCCTTGAGCTGAAGAGGTCAGGGACAGCGGCCAGCCCAGAGTTCAAGCCTCACAATGGACAAAAAAAAAAAGATGGCAGCAGGGAGCCATAGACTACACAGGACTGTGACATGAGATGATGGCTGAGCAGGAGGTAGACCAGCTGTCTCTACTACAGAGATGCTAGGTGTCAGAAGAGGTACGGCTCGCACCTGAGATTCCTTTGGTGGATCTAACTACCTGTCATCCCAGTCTCTGAGCATCCAAGTGCCCAAAAGACTGTGAAACTGGGATCTCAGTGAGGGTATGAGGAAGACAAGGGACAGAGTCTCCCTCCAGGTCTTAGTCTTGAATGATCAGGACTATGGCAACCTTAATACGGGAGTATGTTTCACAAATGGGTGGAGCTCAAAGGGGGCAGAGGCTCCACTGAGAAAACAGAGGTCCTCAACTCTCTTTTTAACAAGCAAGTAGAAGAGCTGGAGTCAGATCCCCGGTGTCCTGATGCTCAGTCCACTGTCTCTTGATTTGCTCAGGATGATCCCCTTCTGCCTTTACAAAGCCCAGAGTTTTGTTTCTTCTTGGCCCATAAAGACAAAAACGGTATGGTTTTAATGGTGTTTAATTCTTGTGGGATGGCAGACAGGCTGAAATGCTGACCTAGACACACCTGCACAGGTGACCCTCTCCCTCCCCCGGGGAGAGCAGAGGTAGGAGGTGAGCTGGCCCCAAGTAGGCTCCTCCAGGAGCATGCAGAGATACTGGGTTTGGGGTGGCAGTCCTAGTACTCAATGATTTTAGTTGTGGCATGAAATTCAAACCCACATATCTTCTAAAACTAATAACAAGAAGCATGGTGGTTTATACTTGTAATCCCAGCACTTGGGAGGCTGAGAAAGAAGAATGAAAGTTCCAGACTGGGCTACACAGTGAGACCCTGTCTCAACCAACCAACCAACCAACCAACCAAGGAAAGTGCTCATCCAGGCAGAGGAAGCTCTGGGTTCTGGCTGTTTTCTCAAAAGACAAAATAGATGTGGCTTCCCCACGACCAGGACTGGGACACTGGACTCCCTCACGACCTCCTGTCAACAAACTGACTGACATGACTATGGGCCAGCTCTGGGGTTGTAAGATGGCAAAGACACAGTCCTCACCCCTAGGTGGCCCAGGCAGCCCCATGCAGCGGGAGCCATCTGAGATGGAAGAGCAGGGACTGTAGGCCCCAGGAAGGCACATGGTCCAGCTGGCTCACCTCACTATGGTGTTGGAGCCCGCTTTGTGGTAGTAGAGTGAGTTGTTGTGAACAGCATGCCCACAGCCATGGAAGTAATGAGGGAGGTGGATGAGCGAGTAACTGCCGTTCAGAAGTGCCGGCTCATCTTTGAACTCCTTTACCATGATGCCTGTGAGGGGAAGGCAGGGAGGGAAAGGCTGTTACTTGTCATGGACAATCCCATCTGGGCAGCGGGAAAGGTGAAGGGGGTGGGGGAAGCCGTTCCCTCTCTAAGGCCCTTTGTCCACTTTGAAGAGCCCGATATTCCCAGACACAAAGTCCAGACCACCCTATGGATTTATTTTTTATATTTTGGTTGCCATGGGGCGTGAACTCTGGGCCTGGGCACCGTTCCTCAGCTCTTCAGCTCAAGGCCAGCATTCTACCACTTGAGCCACAGCGCCACTTCTGGTTTTCTGGTAGTTTATTGGAGATAAGAGTTTCATGCCCAGGCTGGCTTTGAACCGTGATCCTCAGATCTCAGCCTCCCGAGTAGCTAGGATTACAGCATGAGCCACTGGCACCCGGCTCATCCTATGGATTTTTTCAGACATAGTTATCATAGCCTTTGCTCCGCTGAGAAAATGCATGCCCCACCCCCACCCCCGGTATTATTTATAGTCTTTGAGAGTGGGGTAATGGTGGCTCACACCTATAAAACCTGAGTAGCTCACAGCTACTCAGGAGGCTGAGATCTTTGCATCGAGGTTCAAAGGCAGCCCAGACAGAAAAGCCAATCAGATGCTTATCTCCAATTAATCAGCAAAAAATCAGAAGTAGAGTTATGGCTCAAGTGGTAGAGGACCAAACTTGAGCATAAAAGCTAAGGGGGAGGGGGCCCAGACTCTGAGTTCAAGTCCCAGTACTGGCACTAATTTAAAAAAAAAAAAAGAACAGCACATTGATACCAGTAATGGAATGGCAGAGATTAAAAAACCCACAGACATAAGCGTGAGGTAGGCAACAGGGGAAAGATACTATCATAATTCAGTGCAGGTACCTGAAAAGTGTTCAGTTACCCAAATCCGGTCATCGCTCTTATTAGCAGACTCTCTGATCCAAGTTCCAAATGTCTCTTTCACTTTTAGTACTCGTGTTGGATTGCCAATGGATGTGATCATAGATTCTGCCAAAAAAAAAAAGGAAGGTGCTTGCCTGCTAATCATGACCTTAAGGCCCCCAGTTTCTGAATTTCAAAACAGGATCTTTTACTTATTTTGTGGGGTGAGGATGGGCCCAGGCCTTCTATATGCCAGGCAAGTACAGTTCTATTGAGCTCCCCTCTCCTCCCCCCCCCCCCGCACGCTGTGTTGGTACCTGCTTGCGGGGGCTGGTGGTCACTGACTTTCTCATCAACTTTGCCCTCCAAGGTATCATCATTTGGTATGGCACATGTCTCACCTACAATGACAACAACAATTATAATAGAGCACTGTGAGATTACATAGCTTTGCGTGTGTGTGTGTGTGTGTGTGTATGTACGCTTGTGCGCATGTGTGCACACATGCGTCCATGTTCTAGAACTAGGGCTTAAACCCAGGACCGCTCATTTCTCCCTTAGCTTTTATTGTTCAATACTGACACTCTACCACTTGAGTGATACCTTCACCTTTGGCTTTTTGCTGTTAATTGGAAATAAGTCTCACAGATTTATCTGCCCAGGTTGACTCTGAACCTCAAGTTCGCAGCCTCCTGGGTAGCTAGGAGAGATTACATTGCTTTTTTTTTTTTTTTTTTTTGCCGTTTGTGGGGCCTGAACTCTGGGCCTGGGTGCTGTCCCTCAGCTCTTCAGCTCAAGGCTAGCACTCTACCACTTGAGTCACAGCGCCACTTCTGGCTTTTTCTGCTTATGTGGTGCTGAGGAATCGAACCCAGTGTCTCATGTATACAAAGCAAGTGCTCTACCACTGAGCCACCTTCCCAGTGACTACATTGCTTTATAGCCATAATCCCCATCTCTTTTCAGATCAAGTTCCATGAACATCCCTTAGAATAGGTCCACCTGTTTCCTTGTTTGCTTTAAAAAATCCACAAGGTATTGTTAGGTTTTTAAAAAGAGGTAGCCGAGTAAGAACTGTACCACGCACGTGGTATTCAGGTAAGGGGTAGGTTTATTCAGTAGACCTGCTGGGACCAGGCAAGGTTGGCACTCCACGTGGCTGGGAAAGGCCTGGGAATGAGAGAGAGCTGGGAAAGAGAGAGGAAAGAGCTAGAAAAGAGCAGAGAGAGGGGTAAGAACAGTAGCACTCACGTGGTATTCAGGTAAGGGGTAGGTTTATTCAGTAGACCTGCTGGGACCAGGCAAGGTTAACACTCCACATGGCTGGGAAAGGAAAGAGGAAAGAAAGGAAAGAGAGAGAAAAGAGCTAGAAACGAACAGAGAGAGAGCTAGAAACTAACAGAGAGAGAGGTAAGAACAGAGAGAGAGAGCTAGAATAGAACAGAGAGACCTAGTTAGCAGAGAGAGCTAGAAAAGAGCAAGAGAGCAGAGAGAGAGAGCAGAAAAGAACTGAGAGCGAGAGCTAGAAAAAGGCAGAGAGAGCACCTGGGCCTGGGCTAGGCCTTATCTAGGGGATGGGCGGGGAAAGGTGTGGCCACATCAAATTCAGATGTGACCTCAGCAGATGCAGATGTGGCCTCTTCCAGGTGTCCAGTTGCCTAGGTAACGCAGGCACTGGGTGGAGACTTTGCTGCGAGGAGGGTGGAGTCTGCTCGCCATCCAGGAGCGGACAGGTATGTTATCAATTCCCCCTTTCCCCAACGTGGTGTTCCCAAGAAGTTTCCCATGACTGTAAGAGGAGATCAGTGTTTTACTTTATTTTGTGCTGCCACAGATAGGTTGGGCAGTTTATCATGGCTCTGGTCTGGAGTCTAGGGAGACACAGATGGAGGGACCACACCTGGAGAGAGCAGTGTGGCAGAAGGCTTTGTATGGTGGCAGAGAGTGGGAAGGGAGAAGTCACCCCTTACAAGGAATCCTCTCCTGTGACAGTGATGCTCACTCTCTGCGGATGGGGGAGTGCTCATAACCTGGCCCTACTCAAAGGATCCCAGCTCTCAACACTGATGTGCTGGGGATAACGTTTCCCCTACATCAACTTTGAGGGACACACCGGGACAGTCAAGGAGAAATGTGCCCCGTACCAGCCCTCTCAGGCCCTCGGCAGTCTGTGAGGAGAGAGAGGCTTGGGACCCTTCCTGGCTGCTGCTCTGGTGGGTGGTACCCCTCTCAGAGTGGGTGGGTGGGGAGATGGGTGCTGGGATTGCGTGGGGAGTGGAATCACACAGTGTCAGAGGAGGAAGGAGCCCATCTCCATGCTGGCTGGTGGCTGGCTGAGACATGTTTCTCGGAAGTCCTCTGACACCAAGGAGAGCAGTCTCTCCTCAGGATCTGTTACAGAGCCTGCTTGCGATTCTCCTGCCTCCCTTACATCTGGAACTTCCGCTAAGGCAATTAAAGGGTGCTACAGAAAGAGAACTGGAGCAGGAAAGAGGCCAAGTTCAAAGGCCAAATATGGCAAGCAAGGACTCATTGAGGAGGCATTGTAGGAGATAATGGCCTCTCATTTAAAGCTGTTCAAATTCTGCAAGAGCTCCAACTGGACCCTCCCCTTTGGGAAAGACCTCTGCTGAGCTCCTTGGAAGGAAGAAAAAGGTCTGATCCTGATGGACTGAGGCTGACACCCTGGGAAGGAATCAGGTGCTACTCTGGCTAACTCTTGGGCAGAATCACTTATTAGGCTCCATTACTGAGCAGGGAGAGGATGGGTGGAGTGTTAGGCTTTGAACTTAGGGCTTTGTGATTGCTAGGCCAGCACTCAATTACTTAAGCCATGCCTCTACCTGCCCTAATTAACTTTTTTTAAATTAATTATTTTGTCAGTTATGGGGCCTGAACTCTGGATGCTGTCCCTCAGCTCTTCAGCTCAAGGCTAGGGCTCTACCACTTGAGCCACAGCACCACTTCTGGCTTTTTCTGCTTATGTGATACTGATGAATCAAACCCAGAGCCTCATGCATGCAAGGCAAGCACTCTACCACTAAGCCACCTTCCCAACCCTGCCCTAATTAACTTTCAGCCCCTAGCAACTGCTGCCTGCCTGGGTTTGAATTCCAGCACTGTCCTTTGCTAACTGAGTGACCCTGACAAGTTATGTAGCTCCTAGGGAGTCTGTAAGTTGGAGATGAGGATGTTAGTTGTGAGACCAAAGGAATTATGTACTTAGTACCGGGCCTGCCATACTGTCAATACTCAACGATTAGTGGTGAAGATCCGGTGCTGGGGGTGTAGCTCAGTGGTAAAGTTCATGCTCGACATGCATGAGGCCCTGGATTGGATCCTCACCCCCACAACCCCGGAGTTATTATTTGTGGGCTGTTAACCAATTTGATTGCCTGTAATCTCCAGCACATCCATGAATTCATTGCTGTAAAATACTTACAACTTAATAGCAAGACTAGCGATGGCTGGAGATGGAAGAGGCTGGTGGGGAGGGGAAAATGAAGGCAGGAAGGAAGAAAAAGAGGAGGAGGAGGAGCAAGCAAACTCCCCTTAGAGCAAATGTCTTCCCTCTGTGTTTCTACATGTGAACGGAAGGCCTGAGGGATCAGTCATTAGTGTTAGAGGCAGCTTCCTTGGGGCACAGCTTGCTGACCTGGACACTGGCCATTGAACACATTTGGCTGGCGAAGGCCTTTGGATCTTCCCCTTCCAGGAGGCCCTGGAGGCCCTGGGGGCCCAGGAGGTCCAGGTGGGCCGGGTGGGCCTTGGTCACCTTTGGCACCTGGAAAGATAAATGGAGAGAGAAACAGAGAGAGCCAAATAAAGAGCTGACCACAGAGCTGAGTGCTGGCGGCTCACACCTGTAATCCTATTCAGGAGGCTGAGATCTGAGAATTCTGGTCGGAAGCCAGCCGGGGTAGGAAACTCTGAGACTCTTTATCTCCAATTCACCACCACCACCAAAAACCACACACACAAATGAACTGCAGCTCAAGTGATAGAGTGCTAGCCTTGAATAAAAGTGCCAAGCAAGAGCTCAAGACCCTAAGCTCAAGGCCCAGCACTGGCATGCGTGAGTGTGCGCACACGTGCATGCACACTGATTGGCCACCAAAGGCCAGTCAGGTGGAAGACACAGTGGACTGGATGAAAGGCAGGCACCTCTCTCCCTGGTCTGCCCTTGAAGGGAGCCTAGGCTGCCCTTACCTGCTGGCAGGACATCGTTGGACACGTCTCCTTTGTCTCCTTTCTCGCCCTTCTGCCCTGGTGGGCCCTCATTTCCAGGTGAGCCCAGCTCCCCAGGGTCTCCCTTCTCGCCCTTTTCCCCTGGATTTCCTGTGGCTCCTGGTAGCCCTGAGGAAAAAAATAACATAGTAACCTATTGTGGAAACTTTACTTCATTGTACTTAGTACCTTTCGGGTACAGCAACTTTACAAACCAAACACATAATCCTTCATAACCATTTTAGTGTTACAACATGGCCATATATTCATTAAAGAATAGTATCTGAGGGGCTGGGAAGGTGGCTCAGAGGTAGAGCGCTTGCCTTGCATGCATGAGGCCCTGGGTTCGATTCCTCAGCACCACATAAGCAAAAAGAAAAAAGCCGGAAGTGGCGCTGTGGCTCAAGTGGTAGAGCGCTTGCCTTGAGCTGAGGGGCAGTGCTCAGGCTCAGAGTTCAGGCCCCACGACCGGAACACCCCCCCCAAAAAAAAAAGAATAGTATCTGAGCTGGGCACCAGTGGCTCATGCCTGTAATCCTAGCTACTCAAGGAGGTTAAGATCTGAGGATCATGGTTTAAAGCCAGCTGGGACAAAAAGTCTCCGTGAGACTATTATCTCCAATAAACTACTTAAAAAAAAAAAAAACTGGAAGTGGTGCTGTGGCTCAAGGGGTGGAACACTAGCCTTTAGCACAAAGAGGGTCAGAGACAGTGCTCAAGCCCTGAGTTCAAGCCCCAGGACTGGCAAAAAAAATTAGTATTTGAGTTCAAGTGTAGTTTCTCATTCCTCTAATCCTAGCTACCCAGGAGACTGAGTGAGCTCTGAGGATCACAGTTCAAAGCCATCCTTGGCAGAAAAGTCCTAAGACTGTTATCTCCCATTACCCACCAGTGAGCTGAAAGTGGAGGTATGGTTCAAGTGGTAGAGTGCTAGCCTTGAGCACAAAGGCCAAGTGAAATCTTGAGGCTCTGAGTTTAAGCTCCGGTATTGGTACAAACACATACAAGTCTTACTGAGATGCATGAAATTCAGCTGTATCTGGGATCCAGAAGGCCCAGGCCCTTCCTTCTGCCAGAGCTTAACTTGGACAATAAATAATCATGTGCTAACATGTAAGGAACTGGGGTGGGGGTGTGTGTGGGGGGGTGACAATTAAGAGGTGTCTGGGATCCCTCCACAGTGAGCACTAATCTGCCAGGGACTGTGCACTGCAGTAAGAAGTAACACAGTGACATATCCTGACTAGTGGCACTACACCCTTCCCAATGGCTTGGGGTCGCCCTGCCCCCCCCTCACACGGGACCAACTGGCTGGAAAGTGGCTCACGCACTTGCCCTCTGCACGAGAAGATGCTCCCCTCTGTCGCTGTTTTAAAGGGACTGTTTGGCATTGTCTGGAGGAGATGAAAGACTAGATGGTTGCCACAGAGCTCAGCCTGGCCATGTGCCAAGTGCAACTGACACCTCTAAAGATTTCAAGTGGGCCAGATTTTGCAGAGCTCAGGGAAACTAGGTGCTGGCGACTGTGAGCTTTTCTTTTTCAGACACAAAGATCCTTGCTATTTTAGGATCTGATTCCCCCCCCACCACCACCACACACACACCTCTTATGCCTTTTATTTTCTTTCTCAAAAAAGGCCAAGTGTGAAGCAGGAAAATGTTCCAATGTTCATATTGGACTGCAGCCCCTGCGGCTGCCTGAGGGGAGACTCTGTTCTCTTAGCTGGGAAAGAAAAGACCAGGGATTTTTTTTTTTTTTAAATTTTTGGTCAGTCGTGGGGCTTGAACTCTGGGCCTGGGCGCTGTCCCTGCGGTCTTCATTTCAAGGCGAGCACTCTACTACTTGAGCCACAGTGCCACTTCCAGTTTTCTAGTGGTTTATTGGAGCTAAGAGTCTCACGGACTTTCCTGCCTGGGCTGCCTTTGAATCTCGATCTTCAGATCTCAGCCTCCTGAGTAGCTAGGATTACAGGCATGAGCCACTGGCACCCGGCTTACCAGGGATGTTTTATCTGTGTGCACTTTGCCTTTGTTCTCTGCTCCACTGTCACAGCCGAAAACAGTCTCCTCTTTTTCTTCTTGGTAAAATCACCTTGGCCATGCATTGGCTCGGAGTGTGTTAAAAATAAACCACCACTCAGGCCACGTGCCTGTGGCTCATGCCTGTAAGCCTAGCTACTTAGGAGGCTGAGATCTGAGGATCCTGGTTTGAAGCCAGCCTGGACAGGAAAGTCTGTTGAGACTCTCATCTCCAATTAACCAGCAAGAAGCCCGAAGTAGAACTGTGGCTTAAGTGGTAGAGTGCCAGCCTTGAGCAAAAAATCTAAGGGACAGCACCTAGGCCCTGAGTTTAAATCTTAGTACTAGAAAAACAACAACAACAAAAACAGCAAAGAAACAAGCTACCACCCAATAGCCATTCACAATCAGAGAAGCTGTGCACAGTGACACGCTATGTAGTCTGAACCCTGGCACTGTTGTCCGTGACTCCTGGCTGGCTTTGAATCAGAGAAGAAAGGCCAGATATTATTTTATTTTATTTTTGTCTGTCCTGGGGCTTGAGCTCAGGGCCTGGGTTCTGTGCCTGAGTTCTTTTGCTCAAGGCTAGCGCTCTACCACTTTGAAGGACAGTTTTACTTCTGGTTTTTGAATGGTTAATTAGAGGTAAGAATCTCACAGGGACTTTTCTGTCTGCCCTGGCTTTGAACCTCAAACCTTACATCTCAGTCTCCCAAGTAGCTAGGATTACAGGCATGAGCCACTGGCAACTGGCCCCACTTAACTCTTGTGCTAGAGAAGTATCTCTTTGCTATTTTTCTCCTGATGTTGCCCACGCAAAACATACAGTACCACCAGCATTAGAGTTTGGAGTTGTGCAACAGCCTTGGGCTGGGGTCAGTTTCAGGATCTTCTCAATAGGGGGTGAGGGAGGATGATTTATTTCGGACAGATACCATCTGTCAGTGACTAATGCAGAGGAAAGGGACCAGAGAGGATCACACAAAACTCAGTTGTAAGACATGAATTGTGACAAGGGCATTATTTTTGTTGTTTTCTAAAAAAAATAAAGATAGGATTAAAAAAAAAGACACGGTAGCATTAACTCTTAAGTGAGAAATTGAGAGGCAGATGGCAAGAAAGGAAATGCAGATTGCCAGGCTTCTTAGAAGATACTAGCTGAACTCCTGACAGCATTTAAGGGTTTTTCACTCCAAAGATTTCTTACTTCTCCTCTGACTCCTCTTTTCCTTCCTTCCTCCCTTTCCTTTCCTTCTTCCTTTTTTGTCAGTTTTGGGGCTTGAACTCTGGGACTGGGCACTGTCCCTGAGATCTTCAGCTCAAGGCAAGCGCTCTACCACTTGAGCCATAGCACCACTTCTGGTTTTCTGGTGGTTAATTGGAGATAAGAGTCTCGAGGACTCTTCTGGCTTTGAACCATGATCCTCAGATCTCAACCTCCTGAGTAGCTAGGATTACAGGCCTGAGCCACTAGCGCCCTGCTGTGGGATTTAGAAGGCTGTCCTATTCTATCAGATGCCTGGCTCCCAGTCACAGGACTTGTTCCATCCTTCTGGAATGTTTTCTGGCAGGAAGGCCTTGAGCCCTCAGATCTCACCTGACTGCAGATACACATCTCTAGGACCCCCTGCATCTCCCCTGGATGGATGCTCAAAGCATCTCAGCTCTGCACATCCCATGGCTTACTTCCCTAACCCAACCCTGGAGTAGGGGTGTCTACCTCAGGAAGAACTGAGCACTGTCCATCCAGCTGCAGGACAGAAGCCAGGAAGTCAGTGTTGACGCTCCTGCCCCTCACTTCCTCTGCCCCTTCCCCTGCTGCTGGGACTGCCAACCTCACCCCTAAATTTCACTCAACTCCATCAGCCTTGCCACACCCCTCACACCATGGGGACCCCTCAGGGACTTCTGATGGCTCTCAGGACAGAGCTCTATCTCCTCTGTGTCCCTGCAACCCCTCTCAGGGCCTAGGAAGGAAGGGAGAAGAGCACCGCTCTGGGGTCTGCAGTAGGGGGGCAGAGACAGTGCGACCTTTGTTCTGGGATCTGGCTCAAGGCTGAGCAATGCTTCCAGAAACCTCTTCCTCTAGAGCCAGGGTCTTGTAGATAACCTTGGTCCTCTCTAGAAGGTTGTCTGTAAAGGCTTCATCCCCCACCACTTTCCCTGGCTGAGTCATGGACCTCCAATCAATCCAACATCTTTAGCTAGGGTCGCAGGCATGACTGACATCAAGCCAAAGAAAAATTTTTTAATATGTGTGCTGGGGCTTGAAATCAGAGCCTCATTTTCTACCACTTTGAGTCATACCTGTGGTTAACTGAAGATGAAGAGTTTATGAGTCGGGCACTGGTGGCTCATGCCTGTAATCCTAGCTAATCCGGAGGGTGAGATCTGAGGTTGATGGTTCAAAACCAGTCCGGGCAGGAAGGTCCGTGAGACTCCAATGAACCACCAGAAAACCGGAAGTGGTGCTGTGGCTCAAGCAGGGGAGCCTATGCCTTGAGCTGAAGAGCTGAGGGACAGCGCCCAGGCCCAGAGTTCAAGCCCCATGCCCGACCGAGGGAAATAAAAAGTGTCTTATGAACTCTGTGCCCCAGACTGGCTTCAAATACGCTTATCAACTCCTAAGTAACTGGGATTACAAGTGTGACCAATACCTAGCCCAAAGAATCTTTATACAAGGTAATTTCTGTCTAGGGCCTATTTGTTTTCCCCAATAATCTTTAAAAATGCTTTGAAATGGTTGAATTCCCCATTTTCCCCTTCCTACTGGCAAAGGGCAAGAAACTTCTTGTCTGGAAACTTATCTGGAAACTCCTGTCCGGACGAGGGGACATGCCTTTCCTCTCAGGCTGCACCTCTGACCCTTCCCAGGGTGGGGATGGACTGTCCCTGTGCCTGCAGGGACACACCTCATCCTGAGTCTGACCCCTCACCCGCATGGCTGGCTGCATCACTGGGACAGGGTCACAGGTTTGGAGTCTTCCGGGGATAAACCCACTGTCTGCCTGCAGGTAAGTCCTATCGCTGACCATCATTTCTAATGATGAGTCCATCCCGCAGACAATGGCCCACTGAGCGAGCGCGGTAATTCCTGTCTTAATTGCTAGCTTCCTGAGGCCGGGGCTGACTTGGGCTGTGTGTGCACAGTGATCCACAGAGCTGCCCCCAGGAACACCGACAGGAGCCCTTGTCAAGGGCAAAAGTGCTCCTGTCTCTCCCTCTCACAGGATCTCACTGAAACTGAGTACAGGAACACAATAACAGTGCTATTTGAGACAAAAGCCCAGGGCCTACTCAGGTGACTTTGGGGACAAGAACTAAGAGGCTGAACAAGAGTGTGTGGTGGACTCTCCCTGCCTTCTCATGATGGCTTTGACTGGTTGTTAGAGAGGCCTTCTAGAAGCTTCCAGACCAATCTTCAACTACCCCTCCCCCCATGACTGCCTTGTGCTTTTCCACAGACAGTTGCTCAGAGCTCTTCTAACCTCCACCCCTATCCTGGTCCTGGCTGCCGTTGGGACCTGCATTAGCCTCAACTCTCCCTTGATACATCTGATACCTTTGGTACCTCTGGGCCTTTGCTTAGGTGAAGCCAATCTAAGCGTAAACCCTGCTGGCTGAGTGCCATCCCTGGAGGTCTGCTCCCTTCCTGTCCAAACACTTGGAGCTACAACTCTAGCCAGGGAGATTTTTTAGTGCAGTGATTATTATCCAAACCCGAGGACTGGCTCTGAAGAAGGAGAGACAGAGGAACACAGCCTCAGCTTCCAGCTGAGACAAAAAGATGCCCTCAGCCAGGTGCCGGCGGCTCACGCCTGTAATCCTAGCTTCTCAGGAGGCTGAGATCTGAGGCTCCACGTTCAAAAGCCAGCCTCGGCAGGAAAGTCTGTGAGAATCTTATCTCCAGTTAGCCACCAGAAAACTAGTAGTGGCGCTGTGGCTCAAGTGGTAGAGCGTTTGTCTTGAGCTGAAGAGCTCAGGGACAGCGCCCAGGTGGAGTTCAAGCCAAAACAAAAACAAAAAAAAAGGTGCCCTCTCCCCTTTGTCCCATCATGGAGACAAGAGATAAGGAAATGCATTAGAGCAGTTGTTGAAATACCCATTTTTCCTCTCTTCCCGTTGGCTCCTTTTTCGCCTCTGGGGCCCTCGGCACCAGGCGGTCCATCCGATCCATTGTGTCCCGGCAGCCCATCTACTCCTGGAGGGCCTGTGCAAATACCGAACAGTTACAAATTTTTATCTTGGGGCTGGGAAGGTGGCTCGGTTGGTAGAGTGCTTGCCTTGCATGCATGAGAATCTGGGTTCAGTTCCTCAGCACCACATAAGCAAAAAGAAAAAAGCCGGAAGTGGCGCTGGTAGGGCGCTAGCCTTGAGCTGAAGAGCTGAAGGATAGCGTGGCCAGGCCCAGAGTTCAAGCCCATGACCAAACAAAAAAAATCTTAAAAAAAGTTTTTAAGGGGCTGGGAAGGTAGCTTAGTGGTAGAGTGCTTACCTAGCATGCATGAAGCCCTGGGTTCGACTCCTCAGTACCACATAAACAAAAGAGAGCCAGAACTGGCACTGTGACTCAAATGGTAGAGTGCTATCCTTGAGCAGAGAGAGGCTCCAAGACAGTACCCAGACCCTGAGTTCAAGCTCTAGGACTGACCAAAAAGTTTTTTTTATCTTGGCTAGGCACAGTGGCACATGCCTACAAGCTCTGTTTGGTGGGAGGTAGCGATAGGAGGATCATTCCTATGGTGGGGGAGAGTTAGTGAAGCCTCATTTCAATAAACACGCCTGGTATCATTATTCTGTATGTTATTCTATCCTTCTACATTCTAAAGAGGCTGAAATAGGAAGGTTGTTATCTGAGGCCAGCCCTAGGCAAATCACAAAAGAGTCCAGCTGAAAAACACCTATAACTGAAAAGGGCTGAGGGTGTAGTTCGGGTAGAAGAATACCTGCCTACAAACACAGTACCATCGTCCCAAAGAAAACGTCACTTAAGTTGATGAGAATTCTTTTAGCCAGTGAGCAGACAGGACTGATGCCTTCCCGTATGACCTCCTGCTTTTCCATCCTCCCAAAGAAGTGACGAGAAGCAGGCACACAAAGTGACAGGAGAAAGGAACATGGAGAGACAGGCACAGGGAAGCAACCAAGCAGCCTCTACAGTCTTCCCCCACTTCTGTCCCCGGAAGGAGCCTGGGGATCTGGCCACCCACACCCTGCCCTTGAATCAGGAAAGTCTACGGGCTCTTACCTGGTGGGCCAGGTGGTCCTAAAACAGAAAAAGAAATCCAGATGGTAATTCACAAGTGGAGGGAAGAAAAACCCGTATTCTCCCTCCCGCTTAAATGTCTCAGTTACCCGCCGACCCGAAGAAACCAATCCCATATCTATTATATTTTCCCCCAAGACACTTTAGAAAACCCAGTGGAGACTCGTGCACCGATCAAGCCATTTTTGTTTGTGTCTGGTCTTCTGTGCTGGTCTCTCTGTTGATTCTTATACTAGTTATCTCTGAAGCAGTCAGCTCAATTAACTGAGGGTCAGTGGCATGAAGATGGCCCGTGCGCGCAGCCCAGGCAAAAGCAAGTGTCAGTACATGGCGGTGCTGTCACCCTGGAACATGAGAACAGTTCCCAGGGCTTTTACCCAGCCAGCTTGTCTCCTCTGGGCTGGCTTGCCAGAGCTTTTATTACATGAACTAGCCTGATGAAACTTGAGGAGTAAAATCACCCAAGTGCCTAAGCAGGTTGGATAAATCATTTCTACAGAGTTGTCTTTTTTTTTTTTTTTTTTGGTTTGGTTTTTGCCAGTCCTGGGTTTGAACTCAGGGTGTGGACGCTGTTCCTGAGCTTTTTTGCTCAAGGCTAGCACTCTACCTCAGCACACTTCTATTTTTTTTTTTTGAGTGGTTAATTGAAGATAAGAGCCTCACTGGGACTTTGCTGCCAGGGCTGGCTTTGAGCCGCAACCCTCAGCTCTCAGTTTCCTGAGAAGCTGATTATAGGCGTGAGCCACAGGCATGGGGCTGACTTGTCTTATGTTCACTGGTCTCTTTGAGCACTGAGCAGCAAAGGTCCAGAGGGTTGGAACTTGGGAGATTCAGGGTGGGAGAAAGGCGGAAGCATGGCCAGGATGGTTTGGGTGGAGATGAGATTGAATCAGATCATGGGTGGAATGGACAATAAAAACACCTGACTGCCAAGTCAAGAGGGGTAAACTGTCTCTGCGAAGTGATAGAGAATGACTGTAGGCTCCTAAAGATCAATGTGATTTTGAGCTCTTGTTTTTATCTAGATGAATAGAAAGGTGAAAGTTATAGACATAGAGAGATAGCAGGAGGGACAGGAGGGAGAGATGGGGGATTATTGTAGAAAAAAACCCACCAAGATTTTTATAGTTAAAACCAGGCTCATAGCTGGGCACTGCTAGCTCAGGTCTAATCCTAGCTACTCAGGAGGCTAAGATCTGCGGATCAAGGTACAAAGCTAGCCTGGGCAGGAAAGTCCATGGGACTCTTTATCTTCAATTAACCCCCAGAAAACCATAAGTGGTGCTGTGGCTCAAAGTCATAGAGCACCAGCTTTGAGCAAAAAGAGCTCAGGGAACAGCTCCCCAGGCCCTCAATTCAAGGCACACAACCTACAAAAACAAAAGCAAAACAAACACACAGAAAACCCCAAACCCAACATGGCTGGGAATGTGGCTTAGTGGTAGATTGCCTGCCTAGCATGCATGAAGCCCTGAGTTTGATTCCATATAAACAGATTCCACATAAACTGAAAAGGCCAAAGTGGTGCTGTGGCTCAAGTGGTACAGTACTAGTCTTGAGCAAAAGAAGCTCAGGGACAGTGCCCAGGCCTTGAGTTCAAGCCCCAGGACTTGGAGGGAAAAACAAACAAACCAGGCACCTGATTGCGGATGAATGTATGACTAGCATTCTCTGCAACTGTAGAGAAAGCTAGCAACATACCAAGTACTTCCCATGGAATGAGCAAGCCTTCACAACCAACTAGAAGGCAATCTCTCAGATAGACAGGGGATATGGAATACTGATACAGAGTCTGCAGATGCAGCAGCTCTTAGGAGAATAAGGGATTACGGGAAATGTTCAATACATACAGGCCCAAAACTATTTGATGTTGCAAATTAGCTTAGCCTATGGCTCAGTCCCTGGCTTGACCACCAGAGGGCACAGGCATACTAGAAGAGGTGCTGCGGACAGTTACAGAGGTCAGCAGACATCTCTCAGAGTCTTCACTACGAATGGCGCCACAAAAGAGCCACATGGAGATAAGGATGATTTGTCTGTAAGAAGCAAGCTGACTGTGTATAGTGGGTTTTGAGACACCCCCACTCCCCAGAACTGTGTTCATGGTGGGACTTCCAGCTTAGCAGGAGCTGTATAATGCAGGACACACTAGCCCTGGCCAAGGTCTCCTGACACTGTTGCTTTTCCCCCCCCTTCTAGTTTCCTTTTATTTTGAGACAGGAACTCACTATGCAGCCCAGGCTGGCTTTGAACTTGCCATCTTCCTGCCTCAGCTTCTGGAGTGCTGGGATCACAGGCATGAAGTGTTCATTAGGGTTCCTTGAAGTTCCTGATACCCCCGCTACAGTAATCCTTGGATGAGTTCACACAATCACCTGCAGTGCTCGTGAAAACAAAGAGACCAGGTGTCCTCTCTGGAGATTCTAGTTCATTCTGGATTTATAGAATGAAATGGCAGCAGCCTGACTCCTGAGTTACCACAGGAAGCCAGAATTTCTTGGGAGAGTCACACGAATGTCACTTAGTGAAATGAGACTGGGTTAAGCCACTGAGTTGGTTGTTGTTTTTTTTTTTAACTTTGTGTGTGTGCATGTGCACACACACACACACACACACACACACACACACACACACACCTGTACTTAAGCTTAAACTCAAGGCCTGGGTGCTGTCCCTTAGTTTGTTTGGGTTTTTTTGCTCAAAGCTAGTACTCGACTACTTGCATTCTACTGCTAGCTTTTCTGGTGGTTAACTGAAAAGAAAAGTATCGCAGACTTTTTTGCCCAGACTGATTTTGAACCGTGATCCTCAGATTTCAGCCTCCTGAGTAGCTGGGATTACAGGCGTGAGCCACCAGCACCTGACTTCTTTCTGCCTGGCATTCTTTGGGCTCTGTGGATCAAGGCTCTCAGCCTACTTCTGAAATTGCTCAATTCAGTCCTGGGTCCTGTCCCTTACTCTCTGGCCCTTGTCCCTAATCCAGGAGATAGGGGCTATCCCAAAGAGTTCAGCAACATAATAGTTCACGTTTCCAGGAGAATCTTCTGGACTCACTTTGCAACTTGTACTGTTCACAAGTAAGTTTTTAATTGAAGAGCTTTCCGTGTTAAAAAAGAAGAAGAAGCCTAATTTCAAACTGGCACGAAAAAAAGAAATGTTAGCTTTTGAAAAGCATTTTGAAGAGCCAGACAATCACCCATTCTCAAGCCATTTCCTCCGCGGATGCAATCTCCACTGGCAGTCGCTCCCTCCTAAGAGGCCTCAATAGCTCTGTCCTGCGCATCCATTGTGTGGCCTGGCTCTCGGGAAGTGTCACTGTAACAATCAGGAGGGAAGAGGCTTTTCCTGGGCCTCTCAACAGGGCTTTTGTGCTATCTGAGTATTTCTGTAGCACTCATTACTATCTCTCACGGGAGCTAGGCTAAGGGACCTTCGCTGATGGATGGGAGACGCTCGAGCCTGGAGAGCTTCAGAACAAAGGACCAGGCTGCCCCAGGATATTCAATTTTCAGGAAGGGCTGAAATGTGGCTGGAGTAATTCAATTAGCATCTCCCCAAAGCGTGGAATTACTGTCGTTCTCTCTGTGGCTAAAATAAGTGAGAGTCAGCCTAGAATTTGGGGTTCTGTTCACTCACTCATGCGAATCCAAAGTATAGTGTATTAACATATGCCCATCCACTCTTTTTTGTTTTTTTTTTAGTTGGTCATGGGTCTTGAACTCTTCCACTGAGCCAACTTCCCTGTCCCCCAAGATCCTCTCATCTCCAATTAGCCAGCAGAATGGTGGACGTAGAGGTGAGGCTCAAGTGATAGAATGCTAGCCTTGAGCGGAAGGACCAGGCCGTGAATTCAAGCCCCAGAAGCAGCATAAAGCAAAACTAAAACATAATAGAGGGGCTCTATAGAATGTGGCTGAGTGGTAGAGTGCTTGCTTAGCATGCCTAAAGTTCCACGTTCAATTCCTCAGTACCACATCAACAGAAAAAGCCGGAAGTGGTGCTGTGGTTCAAGTGGTAAAGTGCTAGCCTACAGCAAAAGAAGCTCAGGGACAGTCAGTGCCCAGGCCCTGAGTTCAAGTTCCAGGACTGGCAAAAATAAAAATAACTATTAAAAAAGTAATAAAAAAATTCAAGGGAGTTGTGCTTCTGCTTCACCATGTACTATTTTAATGTAGATCTAATTTCCCTATTTCCTTAAGGTGTCTAGAGTCAGGTCTGGAGGCCTCACACTCAAACCCACACCCATTTTCAGTGTTCTTAGGTGTTTATTCATGTTGGCGGTGTGGATGCTGGCAGCCAGTGGCCATCCTACCTGTCAGACAGATGCCTTTCGTGCTGTTGCAGAGGTCCACCATCACCCGGATCTACAGGGAGACAGCAAACAGTAAGCAAGGAGTCCTGAACTTCACTTCTGTGCAGACAAGCAGAACGCAACCAGAAAACCTAACCAGGCAATAGGAAACAGCCTGATAGAAATCATCCAAAAGGAACAAGAACCTGGACAAGATCTAAGGCTGTTTTGTATAAATGCTCATCTCTACCAACACGCTCACTTTGATTTCTCCCAGCTTTTGAGAAGATGGAGGATTGTGAGAGAGTTAAATCCACACCTCACCAGCTTCTTGCATAGCTAGATTACAGGCATGAGCCACCAGCATGCAGCCAGACTTTGTTCCTATTATTTCTACATATTCCAGTTCAACAACCATATATACAGCGCCCACACCTTATTAGGTATTGTAAGAAATCCAGAGAGACTTTAAAGTATGTTGTCAGATATGCATGGGTTTTATAAAAAGAGACTGAACATCTTCAGAATTTGATAACTGAGGAAGGTTCTAGAAATCTCTCTCTGTGGCTACTAAGGGATGACAACTATTATCCTAACATAAGATTGAGAGATGTACTAATACGTCGGAAGCATCTTAGGTACCCCTCTTCCATCCTAACAGCAATCTGAGCTGAAGTACTGACTGGATAGTACAATTCTGCCCAGGTAAGAAAACAGAGAATGTAAGCCAAATGCTGGTGGCTCACTGTGTAATCCTGAGATCTGAGGACTGTGGTTTGAAGCCAGCCTGGGTAGAAAAGTCTGTGGGAATCCTGACTTCAATTAGCCACCAAAAAGCAGGAAGTGGAGCTGTTATCTCAAGTGGTAAAGCTGTGGCCTTGAGAACAAAAAAAAAAGAGAAAAGATAAGGGACAGCACCCAGGCTGAGTTCAAGCCCTAGTACTGGGGGGTGGGTCAGGAACGATGGGTGACAATGTTGTCAGACGCCTTGTATTCAGATACTGTTTTGTAGGATGGGAACTTCTTTGTACAACTACTTAAAGATAATAAGAATAATGTTGTTGTTTTTTTTTAAAAGGAGGGGCTGGGAAGGTGGCTCGGTGGTAGAGTGCTTGCCTTGCATGCATGAGGCCCTGGGTTCCATTCCTCAGCACCACATACAAAGAAAAAGCTGGAAGTGGCGCTGTGGCTCAAGTGGTAGAGGGCTAGCCTTGAGCTGAAGAGCTGAGGGACAGTGCCCAGGCCCAGAGTTCAGGGCCCACGACTGACAAATAAATAAAAAGGAAAAAAGACAAAGAAATAGAGAATATAGTGTTAGTGGGTATATACAACTTGCTCTCCGAGGAGCTCAGTTCAGGAATCCTGATTCCCAAGTTCCAGTTTCTTCTCTATTGCTACTCTGGTGATTATTTTAACCAGGCAGTGAAACATTTTTTTTTTGATTTACTGCTTTTGTAGTCATTTTCATAAATGAATGTAATCAGCCGCACTACTGGACAAAATTTATTATCTTAACAAGTATGTAATTGCTCATTGAGAAGCGCAGAAAAGAGTGCACAATGACTCATTGGTTGCCTGGGGACCCCAGCAGAAGGGGCCTTTCTAACAATAGCAGCATCAATAGGGAAAATTAGCCTTTCTTTTTGCTATTGATCACCAGCCTAGGACAGGCTTGGCTAGAAACCACAGGGAAGGAATTTCATTTCCTGAATCTCTGGATTATTGACATGCTAAGTGTCAACACAGGCATTCTCCAGTAAATTACTGCTATCTTCATTTTGGAATATTCTTTTAAACAAATTTTAGGCTATGTAAGATTGTATTGAAGCTAAATGTACAGTATGAAATTGTGTGCAGTAGGTAAGACCAGAAACTTTTCTTTTTTTTTTTTTTTTTGTTGGTTGTAGGGCTTGAACTCTGGGCCTGGGCACTGTACCTGTGCTCTTCAGCTCAAGACAAGCACTCTACCACTTGAGCCACAGCACCACTTCTGGTTCTCTGGTGGTTAAATGGAGATAAAGAATCTCACAGACTTTCTTGCCCAGGCTGGCTTTGAACTGCGATCCTTAGATCTCAGCCTCCTGAGTAGGTAGGTTACAGGTGTGAGCCACCAGTGCCTGGCTCAGAAACTTTTCTTTCCTGATCGTGTGTGTGTGTGTGTGTGTGTGTGTGTGTGTGTGTGTGTATTTGAACTCAGTGTTTGAGCACTATCCTTTAGCTTTTTTGTGCAAAGATAGCACTCTACTACTTCAGCCACACCTTTACTTCCAGCTTCTTGGTGGCTAATTGGAGATTTCATGGACTTTCCTGCCCAGGGCTGGCTTCGAACCACAATCCTCAGATCTCAGTAGGTAGACAACCTTTATGGTAGTCCCAAATGAGGTCAGGTACCCTGGGTCTATTCCTGGAAAGGTGGGAATTTGCACAATGGCCAAGACCTGGTGAAAGCAATCTGCCAAGTTCAATAAGAATGTGGAACTGTGCCCTGTTTTATTTCATTTTTTAAAAGTTTCTTTAGATATTCAAGGCCAACTACCCAGGACCATGTGACTGAAATATAAATCTGATTCCTCCCTCCTTCCCTAAATACTACCTTAAACATAATAAAACATAAGTATGCTTTTTGTCCTTCTCAGCAATTCAGTGATAGCAAACGCATTGGCTACAGATAATTCAGCTTAAATACTTTACCTTACTTAGTTATTCATGATGACCAAAAGAGGTCAAAATACTCCTCCTTTATGTTTTGGTTACTGCTGTAATTGCTGTAAAATTGAGACATTTTTCCCACCTTTGACTGCAAAGGAAATTTTTTTTTTTCTGGGTCCAGTTGTGGGCCTGAACTCTGGGCCTGGGCGCTGTCCCTCAGCTCTTCAGCTCAAGGCTAGCGCTCTACCACTTGAGCCACAGCGCCACTTGCGGCTTTATTTTCTTTTTGCTTATGTGGTGCTGAGGAATCGAACCCAGGGCCACATGCATGCAAGGCAAGCGCTCTACCACTGAGCTACCTTCCCAGCCCACAAAGGAAATTTTTTTAAAAATTAAAAGGACCAGGTACCAGTGGCTCACACCTGTAATTCCAGCTACTCAGGAGGCTGAGATCTGAGGATCGCAGTTCAAAGCCAGCCTGGGCAGGAAAGTCTGTGAGACTCCTATCTTCAATTAACCACCAGAAAACGGGAAGTGGCTCTTGTGCTGAAGAGCTGAGGGACAGTGCCCAGGCCGAGTTCAAGCCCTACAACCAACCCCACCACCCCAAAAAAAAAATTAAAGAAAAAGAAGAGTAGAGAAAAGAGAAGAACAGTTTCAGATCATCCCTGCCTGGGAAAAGTTAGTGCAAAACCCTACTTTACACACTAAAAGTGAAAGGCCCAGGGGTGTGAAGTGCTAGCGTACTGCCCATAAGCACTGGCAGGGGTGCTGCACGCAAGGGCAGTAGGAATTAAGAAGACAAGTCTAAAGTAGCTTGCAAGATCTGCATGGCGATACCTCTGGAAAAAAGAAAAAAATCTTTTGGCCAGGACACAGCCTTTGGAAAACACTCTGGGGACACTGATTAATACTGGAGGCAGGCAAAAGTGCATAGCTGAAGTTCCTGAAGGACCTTTGCTTCCCTTTCAGGATCTGACCTCAAGTCACAAGGGTGGGGTAAATTTGGCACATCTGGTTGTTTCTTTCTTTCTTTTTTTTTTAATTGTGAAAATGCTGTACAGAGGGGTTACAATTACATGGGCAAGATCATGAGTACATTTCTTATCAAGCATTGTAGCCTCCTCCTTTGTTTCCCCTTCCCATCCCCTTTCCAGCCTCCCCTCAACCCCCTACCCAATCCTCCCCGCCCCCCATCTGGTTGTTGCTTGTGAACTGCAACAGCCCCCTGACTAATTAAGAAACACAACAAGATAAATGATAATACATACCAGTTTGCATGTTTCAAAAAACAATGAAACCTTTGGAAAGTGTTTTAAGAAGAGATGAGGGCGTCAGGGAGAGTGATGGGTGTGGGATTGACTGGAATATATTTGTACTCATGTGGAAATGCTCGAGTGACACCCCACCCCTTGTACAACTAACATATGCTAATAAAAAGTTTAAAAAGTTTAAAAATGGCTGGGTGCCCGTGGCTCATGTCTATAATCCTAGCTACTGAGAAGGCTACAATCTGAGGATCATGGTTCAAAGCAGCCTGGTCAGGAAAGTCTGTGAGACTCTTGTCTCCATTTCACCACCAGAAAACCAGAAGTGGTGTTGTGGTTCAAAGTAGTAGAGTGCTAGCCTTGTGGTGAGGAGCTCAGGGACAGTGCCCAGGCCCTGAATTCAAGCCCCACAACTGACAACAACAACATTGAAAAATGCTAGTTACTGTACAGTAAATTGCCTATTTGCAAATCCTGTCATTTCAGAATTTATTCTGCCCACTTGCTTCTTTTAAAATCTGCATTTTTTTTTGGTCAGTTGTGGGGCTTGAACTCTGGGCTTGGGCGCTGTCCCTGCGCTCTTCAGCTCAAGGCCAGTGCTCTACCACTTGAGCCATAGTGCCACTTCTGGTTTTCTAGTGGTTTATTGGAGATAAGAGTCTCATGGACTTTCCTCCCTGAGTTGGCTTTGAACTGCCATCCTCAGATCTCAGCCTCCTGAAGTAGCTAGGATTACAGGCGTGAGCCACCGATGCCCAGCTCTCTACATATTTTTAACATATATAAATGGAATAGGACAGCTATGAGATTAAATTATACTAGCTATGAGACAATACAGGTGAATATTCAATCTTGAGAAAGACAAGAACGTGCTAAATATAAAAACAAAAGTGAAACCCGTCATTGAAAGGCTTTATAACATTTGACTATATGAGCATGAACCAATTTCAACCACTATCTCACCAAAAGACCTATAAAGTTAGGATTTTTTTTTTTTTTTTTTTGGTCGTGGGACTTGAACTCTGGGCCTGGGCACTGTCCCTCAGCTCTTCAGCTCAAGGCGAGCGCTTTACCACTTGAGCTACAGCGCCACTTCCAAGACCTATAAAGTTAGAAGGAGATATCACCCTGACCAAAATGCAAAATTAAAAAA